ATATATATATATATATATATGACAGCATCAGCAGCAGCAATTTTATTATTTTTATTGGTTAATTGTTAAAGGAATATGGCTCTACGGGCTCACCTAGCTATAAATGGTTAGTTGTTAAACACTTTTTTTATATATATAGAAAGTTCTGTTATATTAATTATTAAAATTAAATCATTGTTAAATAAATTCGTACAATATTAAAAAAAACTTAAAATTAACTATATATTTTAATTTTAATTTTTTATTATACATTTACATCCATTTACTTCCAAATAGGATATGATTATTAATTTATATTTTCAATAAATTATTTTGATATTTTTAATTTTAAACATTAATATAATAATTGTAGAAAATTTAAAAATAAAATGGGTGGTAACATGTGTCACTACAACTTAAAACATATTCTTGCACGTAAAATAACAAGGTTCTTTATAGTGTGCGATTTAACATCGATCTTGACCGATATTGACATCGTTGGTGTTAATCAGTTTTCTTTATATATATTATATCTCTTACCATGATTATAAGCAACTTCAAGAATATAAACAATAATTAATATGATTATTTTAAAATTTTCCGTATTAAATTTAAGTTTTATGTTAAATTATTATATTTAATACTAGTTATAAATAAATGTATAAAAATAGAGTTAATAATAAAAAAATAGAATTAATAATAAATAAAATATGTAAAAGAAATTTATTCGAATAATTTTAAAAATTAATAATTGTTTTGTACTGATGATTAAAAAAAAAACCAATTTATTACTTATAATTAAAATAAAAAATAATATTACATTTTAGAAATATATTTTCTAATTTAATTATTATAGATAATTATTTGAATTTTAAAAGACGGATAATCCCAATGGTTAATTAAAGACGTTTTACCGACAAGTTACACACAAGTTAAGATTTAATATTTCTTTATATAAAGATTAGTAAGGTTGGAGTTGCCTCACATACTATTAACACACACTTTTGTGATTTGAAGAGGAGGAAAGATCGAATACAACATTTTACACATTGGCAGTACTTGTATTGTATTTTATTTAATGTTTACAATAATTTAGTGGTTTCTAACACTTATAAAATAAAGTACATATTGGAAACTCTTCATTATAATTTTAAGGCAATTTCTTGTAGCTTTCTTGTATTCTTAGACAAGAAAACTACTTAGTTGTTTGTTACACACCTTATTGATTCGTAGTATCTATTTTCAATCTTTGTGAGGTTTTTTTTATATATATATTTTTATCAAATAAATAGTAATTTTATTCTTTAACTATTTTTAGTTTATCATTCATTTTCATATGTCTTTGGATGCAAGTTTGATCTTGAAGGGATTTCCTCCGATAAATCGGAAGAAATTTCAATATATTGTCCTAAGAGTAAGTTAACTATCAACCTAGCAATACTTATAGTTGAATTAAAATATATCATAACTACCATTATTTATGTTTTATATTCACTAAATTATATTAGTCACATCAACAGGGTAATCATGAGTGCAACTATTATGTAATGAAGTACATGTGAACACCATTGTTAATTACCAACAACATTAGGGACTCATGGAGAGAGGTAATCCATTCTTAAATCAAATTAATTACTTTAAATGATTACTTAAGTTCTGTATATAAAAAGGCAGAAAATCAAGAGAGCATATTTAGTTAAATAAGTGCTATAATAAGATTCTATACAGAGAGCACTTAAGAAAAATATGTTATCTTTTGTTTATTTTATTATTTTATTTGTTAAAAATATATATTATAGTGTTTTTCCAAAAACAATGCTCTCTCATTGTCATTCTTGAGGTTCATTGTTGAGTCTCCCTTCATCGTCGTTCACAACGTTCACGTGTCTCACACACTATCATCTTTGATGCATTCACCACGTTGCAAGGGATCACTCACTCATTCTATCTTTCACGACATTATTTCCAATCATTGTGTCTCTTGTTGCCATCGTTGACGTTCATTGTTAAGTCCTCTTTAATGTCATTCTCAATTTTTTGTACATCTCACACTCCTGTCACCTCGTTGCATTAACGACATTACAAGTAAAGGATCATTCACTCATTCTACCCTCTATTCCATGTTTTTTTATTGGGTGTTTCTTTCTTCTTCTTTTTTTCTTCTTTATTCGATATTTTTTTCTGTTAATGCTTAACCTTATTTCAATTTTGAAATAAATGGTGTGAGAAAAATTTAATAAATATGAGTAAAAGAGAATCCTTCTCTGATACTTGAACCTAATCAGAAGAATTGGATTTTCTTTTACCATATTACATTTTTTTTCTTTAAGAAATAAAATCTTTGCAAGATTTAGGGTATAACGAAGTTTAACATTTGATAGAATCTTTTAGAAATATTATTAATTTTTGTTCCAGTGACAAAAGACATAGGAGAATACAGGGTGTTGTAACGTAGTAAGTTATTGTTTAGAGTTTAGTTAACGCTAGAGAGTAGAGTATGTAAGACTTTCTCTAAGATCGAAACCTCATAAACTCATTCTCAAAGGAATTCTAGAGGGAAGTTTTAGAGAGAAGGGCTCTAGGTTCGTGAGCTCCTTTCTCTCCCAAATTTCTCTATTTGATTCTTCTTCTTCTCTAGGTTACTAATCTCCTGTGTCTCTTCTTTGAATTCAGGCTGGAAAGTGTGATTTTAGTGGATTGAAGTCTACGGGTCAACCGTTCAGAAATTCTTCTCCTTTTTCCTCTTCTTAGCTATTCTGAGCAAAATTCCAGGTAAGGGAAGCTAGGATTTGGGGTTTTGGGTTGGAATTGTGGGGATATTGAATGAATTGAAGGTTAATGTTGGTAGATTTGTGAAATCTACAAAATGTGGAGAGGATTCAAAGGGGTTTGTGTGGAAATGGGGGTTTTGTTGTTCTTGAGGAAAAGTTGAAATTTGATGATCTTCTTGAATCTTTGTGGATGCATGTCGTTCTTCTTTGATTTTCTGAGTTATTTGATGTTAATACTTGAAGTATTTGGGGTTACATGTCTTGATCATTGCATGGATTGAGAGGATTCGGAGATTTGAGTTGTTCATATGTTGACATGAATTTTCTGGGCTTGGGACGCTAAGCGTGGGATTTTGGGGTTTAGCGTGGAAATTTTGAATGCTGCTGGAACTCTAAGGTTAAGCGTGGGATTTGAGGCTTAGCGTGAGAATGAGATGTGCCTCTGGAAGGTGACCCTGAGCGTGGAATCCTGGGCTTAGCATGAGAGCTGAGTTGTGCCTCTAGAAGGCTGAGGCTGAGCGTGAGTTCTAGGCTAAGCCTAGGGACTTAGTTTAATAAAATTCTTTTCTAATTAAGTTGGTTGCCTACATGATGGATGAGTAGTATGTTGGAAGCTTTTTGCTTGAGTTGTATTATATGCTTAAATGAGGTTAAATAAGTTGTAGAGATGTGGTAAGATGAGGAACAAAATGTGTTGAACATGTTACGTGTTGTCAAAGTTGTCATATGTTGTATAGTTGGTTCATATATGTATGATATATGATGAAAAATTGGTACTTGATTCATATGTATGCTTGGTAATGATATATATGAATGTTTAAACATGATTTGGTATGTACTATCATATGAGGATGATATTGATTATGATGGTGGATTGACCATGTATGATGTATGATGCATTGTTGCATGTGATGCCTTATGGCATTTGTCTAGCCTAGGACTTGAGGAGAAGAAAAATGTTTTCAAACTGGAAGAGCTCACATAAAGTCTCTTGAGAGTGGTGCTTGGATAGCCCACTAGTTTGGGTGAGTCTCCTTTAAGTCCTTAGCTAGTGTTGGAACGGAGTATGAGGTCGAGGGTTATTCCCTTAACCAAGTATTGAGGAAGATGTATGGTTCCTTGCGGATAGTTGGTGGGCAAACTCCAAAAGTGACATGATAATGCATGCCAAGGTCGTGATAAGCCTGTACCCAACTGTGCTATACTTGACGGTGGAACCGAATTTCCAAGTGTGTAAGTGACATCATCCGAGTAAACCCGAGTGAGGATTTATATCCTGATTAGCTGTGACCAAGCGGGCGCATTGGGCGTGAAAACGGTTGAGGTGGTTTCGGTAGGATTGGGATGTCACTTATACTGCTCTGCTGTTAGGAGATCTCTTAGGTGAATGCGTGACGACGCATTAGATAATTGATATGAATTGATATCTGTCATGATGTTGCTAATATTGCATGATTTCTAACATGATGAAGTGTGTGGTATTTGGCTTCATGATATTGTTGAGTTTCATTTTATGCATGAGTAGTATTGGATAGAGTGTACGGTGTGGCTCTATGAGTATGATTGGATGAATATGTAGTATAGATTATCATTCTATATTTGTATGGTTGTTTATTAAACTCTAGCTTACTCTTCTGTTTTCATGTGGATGGACTGCGATGATTATACTGTGTATTGGAGCAGGTCAGGGTTAGGTTAGAGTTGATGTGACCGCTACTAACGAGATCAAATGTTTTGTCCCAGTGTCGGAGTTAGTATTGGAGTGTTTGACTAGTCGTGCTTAACCGGCCCTAAGGTGATATTATCTTTGGATGACTGTACATATATAGTTATATTTTGTACATAGTTATTATTATTTTTATATATACCGGTATGTATGGGTTATCCAGTCTTAATATCTTTTCTTAGTTCACTAGTATTTAGTTCAAATCCACTAAGTATAAGGAGTACGGCGGGGCATTACAGGTGTTATTGACTAAAGTGATATTTTTAGAAATGTGGAAGTCTTAGATAAAGTTCAAGAAGAAAAATTGCTTTAATTTGGGTAAAGGAGTTCTCTTGAGGAGCAGGTTTGGAAATTCTTTTAATCTCCCTATTGCAAATATATCTGAAAAATTTGTTTGTTTGTTATGTAAAATTACATGTTTGTTTTTATACGTGGAACTGTGTGTAGCTAAAGAAAGTACATTCAAATTTCAACGCTCTTAATAACTGAAAATTCCAGCTAGAGTTTAGTTTTAGTATCTCTTATATTTGTATTTACTCACATCATCCATGATCTTTTTCCTTTGTTAACTTGTTTGTTAAAAACATTGGTTATCTAATATAACACCTATTTTTTTTCACAAGTGTACTATGGACCTCCAAATCATTACTGAAAGCATTGGACCAAAACTTATTTATGGACCTCCAAATCATTACTGGAAGCATTGGACCAAAACTTATTCTTTGATTTGATTGCATAATGAAGCTTTCTGAAATTTTAAGGATTTAACTAAGTTTTAGTTTTTAATATGTTCAATTTTGTACTTTACAATCACAAGCTATATATCTCAGCTTGTCATTTCTTGATGGCAATAACTATCATTTGTTAATTAATTAATGATCTTAGTGACTTTTGGTATTTTAGTTTTTATCTGTTTAGTGTGTTTTAAGTTTTTATTTTTATCTTGACTTCTTTAAGATGTATGTAGATATGTGTGTAGACGATAAATATGTTATAGTTCTTTAAATAATGAATTTGAAATAAGAAGTTCGTATGCATTATCCGCAAAGGCTTTTTTGTCACAAAAAGCTACTAAATAGAATCACATCACACCCGAGGCAAAGAACCTTAAGAATTCATTGTTTATAAATCACTTAAAATAAACCCGTTGAATCTCATGACAAATAACTCCTAAAGCAAAATATGCATTCATAATACCACAAATATTATTTTCTTTTTATTACACTTGTGTGTGAGTGTATACTAATTATATAGATAAATTGTTTCTCTTATATTAATTTTTTATTTTTATTTTAAATTTTAAATTTTAATACTAATAGAGTAAACTATTTTTTATCACAAAAATTAAAACTATTTCATTATACCTGTACATGAGTGTACATAACTAGGTGCAACTATAATTTCTATATATATTGGGTATAATATAAATATTACAAGAAAATTATCATATAGTGACACACACTCTATAGTAACACTATAAATGTCACTAAAAATTACTTTTACCCACACAATAACTATAATATATGTTGGTATATTATTAAAAAAGTGTGAGTATAGACTATAGTAACACATAAAATATGTTATTAAATCTCATTCAAAATCAACATTAAAATTGTGTGTAACTATATGTCAAATATATTGTACCTATAATAACACTTATTGTATCTTGTATCACACATTTGTTAAGTCAAATCATATAGTGTTCATTTTTTTATCCTCTCAAATAACAATACACAAATTACTTGTGAAAGAAACAACGTAAAAAATAGTTTTTATTTTTGTTGACAGTGGGATGCTTGATAAGTTTGTTCTGTCTTCTTCCAAATTTTTTATTAGTAATGCATCAACATAAAAAGTATAACATAACACTTTGGATCATTCTTTTTTTTCTCTTCTTTAAAATGTATTAAATCATTATATTTGGTATTCATACAAGGACATCAACTTAGAAAGTGTAAGATTATATGTCGTATGATCAAAATCCATCGTAGAATGTTTGAACATTCTATATGCATCTCGAGTTGACATGTCAAAAGTAATCAATATAAAATGTAAAAAATAACCAACATAGATTATTCTACACAATAGCTGCGTTCTGTGAATTGCTTTAAGTACACATTAATTGCTATATAAATTATTTTAATTTTTCCTCCTAATAAATTTTACTAGTTCCACCGACCCTCTAGCTACAGCACACAAACATACAACATAACATACGTGCCCAGCTCACGCCCAGTCATGCTAACATAATTTATTAAGCTTTTAACATACATATATAACTGATGGCAATAAGGGGGCAACTGTATATGCCCAATACATAAGATATCAATTTTTTATTCTCACATAGCATCAACATAGCACATAAGCTTTATATTGACTGATTCAGTTTTGGTCCTTAGTAAGGTAAGCACCAACTGTTTTGGTCTCCTCAGCTATTAATTGCAATAAGGCATGAGGATCATGAATGTGGTCATTTTGTTTCTCATATTCCGAAGTCCAAATTACTACACCTCCCTTCTCCTTTGGAGTTACTTGCAATATAAGCTTTAACGTCTTGTAATGTTGCAGCACGTCTCCCTCTATAACGTTGAAGGTCACTTTATTGTTTTTCTTGTCAATGCCTTCAACCACCTCCTTAGCCACACAAGTTTTCCCCTCAGTTATTGTCCAGAACCAAAAATGATTAATGTTTGTTTTAGATCTCAATAGTCATTAAACTTGTTAACACTAATTACCCTCATTAGTCATTACTTCTAAGCCAACATGAAATCGACACTTAATTTTGGACTGCATATATACAACATACTTATATAGTGAAAAACCATTGCTCAGTGGTAATGAGTTGGAGTAAATTACGGAAGATTTTAAGTTTAAATTCTGTTGTTATCATGTGTAATTTTTATGGATAAAATTATAATATAATAATTTTTTTATATTCAAAGACGACAAATTATAAACGATAAACAGCATGTCATAAATCATTCATCAAACAATAATCTAAGTCACCAACAGTACATATTGAATTAATTAAGTTTAGTTCCACTTATTTTGTCCCATTTTCGTATTTGTTATCTTAAAACAGATTTTTCTAAAAGAATGTTTCCGAATCCCAAATAACATACACTTAAACAATCACAACATCACAAAATTCCAAAGAAATTTGTGTAGTATACAAAAGTTTATCATCATTACCCATTAAAAAAAATAACAAAATTGCTAATTATCTATACAGAAGGCAAAAAGACATGAAATTTTATTACTTCTTTTATAAAAGTAAGAAAAATAAAACAGCAAAGTCACTTAGAACAACAATTACAATTAATTTTTTTCATTTATCTGGCAAATAGTTTATAAAAATTAAATGGGTGAGGGGTGGTGGATACTAGGCTAATAAGATCAAATATATATGTAATATGGCTGTAAAATAAACTATATATAATTTAAAAAGTTTGAAACATATTTTGTGTAAATGAAAACTAATTTGTAGATAAAATTTGAAGTTGAAGTTTCAATTACCATGCAAATAATTCCAGAAGATGATGGATCCCTCGGTGCCCCATTCACCTTCAAGAATTTCAACAGACTTTATTGTTTCAGGCATAATAGTGGCAACAAGGTGTGTCTTGTTGCAAAAAACATCATAGATCTGCTCAGCAGAAGCATTGATGTCCACGTTAGTTTCCAACTTTTGAACATGAGAGTAGGCCACATTTGCTATTCACTCCTTAGAAGGTATGGTAAATATGTGTACTATATACAAATGTATATATATGTGTGTGAGAAAGGAAAGAACACATTGAAACTAATTAATATTGATTTACAAAAAGTGTTTAATATTTAAGTTGTGCTATATAGAACATTTTCCACATATATTTAATAGAATCCAGTTTATTACGATATAAATATCATACAAGATGATAGTAGTGGTCTAATCTTATTAGATGTTAAAACTAGTTAAATATATATAAATAAATAAATAAATAAAATAAAATCATACACATATATGCATTTTATAGTTGAAAAAGCATCGTCAATATATGCAGCATGATCATCCCATTTTATTGCTAATGAATTATTAGGAGAATGAATTATAATGACACCGTTATAGCATAACCTGCATTTTATTAGTTAGTTGCTAAAGGAATATATGTGCTTAGAGATGTCACCAGAATTAACCACCACTAGCAGAGGCATATTCTTTCCTTTCCATATATATGGGTTAGAATAAAGATGCCTCCAATAATATGCATGGTTCTGCGGGCTCACATAGCAAAAGAGGAGAAATCATGATGTAAAATTCTTGGAAGATGCTAAAACTGATGTGACTCGAGTCCTGATATAGGTGCTACTCATTTTAATTCTTAGGTTAAATTGTATTTTTCCGCATATTTAAAGTTGAGGTTTTAGTAATTGTGGTGGTGAAATATTGTAGAGTTTGACTGGATATTTTAAGAGGAGAAGTTAAGAGAAAGAGTAGTTTTGGGTGTACAACCATATTAAATACTCAAAAAGAGTCTTTCTATTTATAGCTATCCTATTATGCTCAATTAGGATACTTGTGATTTAAAATAAAAGAAAAAAGACTTTTCATTTGGTCCTAAAGCATTTTAGATGAGAAAAATAAATTGAGGAAATGATTAAGAATATATATGAGAAATTAAGAGTAAAGGGACGCAAGCAGCACCTTATATAAGTTGATCAACACACTAGCTCGAAACCAAACTAAAGTGGGAGGAGAAGAGCTCGAGTTGGTGCATTTGATTCAAGCCAAAAAAACCTCCCATCAAGGAGACTTAATTAATAATTAATACTCACTAATACGAACTTGTAATTTGTTATTTTCCCCATTTTATTTATTTTTTTTTACATAGTTTTAATAAATTGAGTGATTTAACGCTAACTAGGAGTCCAAGTTTTAACCAGAGATATTTTTTTAAGTTGTAATTTGGGCCTTATGTTGTTTTTATTTTTTTTTTTGCCCTTTGCCCATGTTTCTTTAAAATTGGTTAATCTTATATGAATCAATTCTATAAATAAAGGTGTAATCCCTTTCGTTTGAAAAATTTGAATGATATATATATATATATATATATATATATATATATATATATATATATATATAGTTTGTGTCTTCT